GTGTGTGTGTGTGTGTGTGTGTGTGTGTGTGTGTGTGTGTGTTACACAAGTTGATTTGCTGTGTGAATCACAAAACCAATTTAATATGTGATTATTTATAATTTTATTTATGTAAGTAAGAAACCTGATGCTGTTGTTTATGATCACACTGTCCTTGTTGATATTTTCTTTTCACGTCACATTTGGTTCCAGCCGTACTTGAATCCTTGAATCACTAACTGTTATTTTAAGTTGCCAAAAAGGTCAAAATGCATAATGAAGGTGCAGCAGGCTACGCAACGAGACACTAAGCTTTAGTTATAGTATTCAACGAAAGTCCAACTAAATGAGGAGCGTATTTTAATAATAATACATTATATAATTCGATTTTTCAGAGGACTGGGAATCAGAGAAATAATTAGATTTTTAATTTATTTATTTATTTTAAATCCAAACAAAATGTGGTGTTGCTTACTGCGGCTGATTAAGACGAGCTTGAATAAATTCAACAGAGGTTGCTTTTATTACACGTCACACCTGGTTTAGACAGAGTGTAGAAGGTGAATATAGCTTCTATCAAGTCAAGCATGCTGGATTTCTCTCAGTATCACACATCTCACGGGCCAATGAGAAGCTGAAGAATCAGGTGTCGATCTTTGTCGCAGGACAGCTCATGTGTCAGTTCACTGCATTTGAACTTTGGACGGGCAAATTAATTTGACAGCCCTGGAGGTTTTCACACATTTTTTTTTTTAAGGTTGTGTGATTTGAGAGCCTGTGGGAATTCAGTTATCCGACTGTTCGAGTTGTGAATGCTACTTCCATAACGTGCTAAAAATGGAAGAGTCAAATATGCTGATACAATGCTGATCAGATTCTACACACATTTCCTGTGCTTTTTCAGTGGTGTATTGTTGTGGTATGATCCGATTTCAGCTAAAACAACCCCTAAATATTTGGTAGAAGAAAACAAATTGTGGTTGATGTCGATTAGAGGGTGTTTCTTCAACTTAGAGAACTTTTATGTCCTTTTTATGTTTTATTGTTTTTCTTTTGTTATATGAAGTTGCATTAACTGTCCTTGGATCTTTTTATGATCTATCTATCTTTACTTATTTAAAATAAATGTATTTAAAAATAAACAAATGAACAGTTTTGCACCTTAAAGTTTTTTTTTTAAGTTAATGTATGTCATTTACAGTCTTGTTATTTTGTCAAATTATGCAAAAATGGTTTGTTTATTTATTTATTTATTTGCACCTTATAGCTTTGTTTGTTTGTTTTGAAGTTAATGTAATTTCCAGTGTAGCTGTAATTTCGTCAATTTAAGTAAAACATATACATATTTCATGTTTGTTTAATTTAGAAGTCATTTCATGAATAGTTTTGCACCTTTTGCAAACACTGTAAAAAATCTATTATTTAAAATTCATTCATTTTTTTCACCTTACATTTTTTTCACCCTATAATTCAGTTCTTCACCTTATAACATTTTTCACAAGTTAATTTGTCATTTTCAGTCTAGTTGCCATTTTGTCCCTTTGCTCATGTAAAAATTTTCAAATGTTATTCATTTATCTATTTATTTGTTTGTTTATTTAAAATTCAGTCATTTCATAACAGTTTTGCAACTTTTTTTAAATGTAATGCTACGCCATTTCTAGTCTATCTGCAATTGTGTGAAATTATGCAAAAAGTATGAACATTGATTTGTGCGTACTCCGGTTACATAAATGCTACCTTTAAAATTTAAAACTTTTTTTATGTATTTGAAGAAAAAAAAAGCCATAAACATTTAATGTCATTCTACCATTATCATTTCCATCACAGAAATACATGGACCAAAAATGCCCATAGTTGCAGAAACCCTTGCTGTCTGAGGAGGCAGTTCTTGGCCTGCATAAGCTACAAATTGGTCCAGACTAGGGCTGTGCGATTTGGGGGAAAATATCAAATTGCGATTTTTTTGACAGATATTGCGATTGCGATTTGATTTGCGATTTTAAGTCTTTAGTCAAGCTTCAGCTCAATATTGCCAATAATGTGCAGCACAGTATGGGTATCATTACCCTGCTGAGAAAAAAACAATAGAAACTATCGCTTTGCGATTAGGAAATCGCAACGTCTCAAATTGCGATTTCGAATCGATTTCGATTAATCGCACAGCCCTAGTCCAGACCCTAAGTTTTACTGGACTAGTTGTTTTATTGGCAGGTCGATCTGTTTCTACATGCAGCAGAAACATTGGGTGTCATTTAATTGACAATTTGTGTTTTTTTGAATGATTTTCACAATTCATTCCACTGGCGTTTCATGAATGGGGGCTGTCACCTTCATCGTGACCTTCCTAACAGGCTTTGAACTAGCAGTACATTAAAGATTAAACACACTGAGGATATCAATAATTACATACTTGCCAGAGTGCCGTTAACAGCCACATGAAATGAATCTTTGCCGTAGTACTAATGTGATATGGCCACGGCATGAAAGCCTTCATTATGATACTTTGACAAGCTCCTTTTTTCATACAAGAGAAGTACATCCGTGCAAGAGCTGTAATCTCAGGCAATGAAAGAAGCTCGAGTTTTTAAGGATGATTATCATCCATTTGGCTTTGAATTCTCCCACCAGGACATCAACATTGAGTGCCTTTGGAACTAACATGTGCGGATTTGATTTTATTCTTCATTTTGTCTTGAATCCCATCCTGGAGTTCGCAGAAAGATCTAATGGACTACATAATTCATGAACTACCAAACAATTTCTCGATTTTAATCGATTCTCATTTTAATAAACCAACATCGATTCTAAAAGGAATAGAGCAGGAATAAAGAAAATTTGCTGTTAATTCACTCACCTTCAGGCCATCCAAAATGTAGGTGACTTTTTTTCTTCAGTAGAACAGTAAAGAAGAGTTTTATCTGAAATTGTGGTCCTTGGTAATTCATAAAATGCAAGTCAGCAACTGCCCCATTTTTGAGAAAAAAAAAAAAAAACATTTAAGGAGCACAAAATTAACACCCGTGGCTTCTGACAATATATTGAGGTCTTATAAAGCGAAACGTTCGGTCTGTGCAAGAAACTGAACATTATTTATACATTATTCATAATTCATAGCCTCAAACAGGCAAATCTGATTCATTTCTTTGAAATGGTTCCTTCGGACAACTCAATGAACTAGTTAAATTCACTAGTTTGTTTACGTAAATACGCAATGAGGTACCATATATAATATTACATTATTAATGTGTAATATATTAGGTATTAAAGCACCCAATAATGAGAAGAATCGATCAATGTTTACAGTGAATGCATGAACAAAATGTAACGAAACATCCAATAAATCGCAAGAAGCTTTGTGCTTCGTTACTTTTCTTATTAAACAAAGTCTCCGCTTTCAAATTTGGTCAAATTTTATTGAGAAATTCAAAAATGCCGTTTTGGCACCGTTTTATGTGGCAAGACAGACCAATTTAAACTACACATTAACCGATCGTCTCTTCCTCTTACTACTAGTTATATGTATGAATGAACATCAGAAGGTATGTTGAAAGAAAAAGTATAACTTACCTTAAATTATCTCATGTAATCAATCAATCAATCAGCGTTTCAACCGTGGAAAGACACATTTACCTCAGAAAAGCCATTCAGTGGCCATAAACTCGATAGTTGGCTAGAAAAATTAACTCTAGAAACATAATTTTCCTAAATATGTGCACTATATTACATATTCATTATATTTTAACTCTTTGCATTATATTTAATATTTTAACCTGTTTCTTGTTTGAATAAATCGGTCATGAAAACAAGTTACTGTATGTTTATATTTCAACAAATAGTATTTTATTATAAAACTGCCTAGGTTTAACTCTGATAGGGTTTATTGTATAGTTTACAGCATTAGTTGAGAGAAAAACCTGTACCCGATTGCCTGTATATCGAAATAAATGGTTATAGAATCAAACTGAATCAAGATCGAAATTGAATCGAATCGCAAGCTTGTGAATCAAAGTCGAATCAAATTGTGAAATTTGTTTCTATACCCAGCCTTACTACAAACAATATACTTTTCTATCTCTTTTTCACGTCTTTGTGAAACAGTTTTTCATTTATTATGCCTCTTTCGAGAATTCCCTTGCCATAATAAAAGTTTTCCTTCTTTTCCACCCCAAAGCTCTACATCCAGACCACCACGCTGACCATCTCCATGAATCTGAGCGCGTCCGTGGCTCTGGGAATGCTCTACATGCCCAAGGTCTATGTCATCATCTTCCACCCAGAGCTCAACGTGCAGAAACGCAAGCGCAGCTTCAAGGCCGTGGTGACGGCGGCCACCATGTCCTCACGTTTGTCACACAAACCCAGCGACCGGCCGAACGGCGAGGCCAAAACCGAACTGTGCGAAAATGTGGATCCCAATAGTAAGTAACCACTTTTTATTCAGAGATAATTGTGGACGTTGGGGAAGATGATACAGTACATTTGCTCATGATGAATTCAGATGCCTTTATAGTAAATCTGGTGAACACTGAGACTGATGTGGTTAGGAAATTTGTCGTTACATTCATAAAAAGAATGTACGATTTTTTGTATTTATTTTTTTGATCACATGAGCGAATGCAAGTTATCAAAATAAAATAATGTGACTTTTCAGAATTCACATTATTATGCATGTTTTCTGGCTTTTTGCACCTATCATTGCACTGTTTTATAATTAGCAGAGACCAATAATAATACATTTTTTAATGTAATTATTATTATTATAAACTGACAGTTTATTTATAATTATAGTTATTGTAAAGCATATCATTATACTTTTTAGTTATAATTTTTTTGGTATATTAATGTACTTTTAAAATATTTATTATAAAGGTAGCAAAACATCATAAATGTTCATTACAGTGTCCCAAACGACTCAAAATAATAAACCACAAAGTTAACAAAACGTCATAAATTGGAAGAAAAAATCATTTATAATAACATGAATTAATAAGCCAAAAAAA